TTACTACGGTGTCACATTTAGAAGCTAAGTGTGGAGTCGCGCTTGGGTTTACACACATAGTAACCAAAACCATAAGATTTTTGATGGTCCAACAAAGCAATAATATTGGTTGGTATGGTCATAGATGGACAAAAAAATGTTTTGAAATAAATTCTACACTACAATCGAAAAGGGGAATCGAAGGAAATCATCCGATTATTCAGCTAAATTGGTTCAGCTATTCGTCACCTGAAAAATACATATCGATCAAAAAGATCAGACCAATTTCTTATTTTGTGAAAAAAAAAGCAACATTACCATTGTTAGTAGCCAATTGAATCTATTCCAATTGCTCTGCAATATTATTTTTGTTTCCCTTTACCGGTCATAAGTTTGGCGACCTCATTGTTACCTAAAAATAATACAGATTAATGGAAAAGATCTAAGCGATATCTTATTTAGTCAGCTTTACCATTGTTAACAGCTACTTGAAGAGGTGTAAGATTCGCATTATTTTTAATACCAGTATTGGCTCCTTTACGGATGAGAAATTCAGCGACACTCCCATGACCTAAAAAATAATTTAAATGGATGAAAAAGATCAAATCAATCTTATTTTAGCAAAGACAAGTATCCAACTATTACCATTCCCAGCAGCTAAATGAAGAGGTGTCTCTTTCACATCATTTTGACTATTAACATTGGCTCCTTTACTAATGAGAAGTTCAGCAACATTCTTATGACCTGAAAAATAATTTAGATGGATGAAAAAAATTAATCTAAACTGTTTTCCTATTTAGTGAGAACAAATAATAAACATTACCATTCAAAGCAGCTGAATGAAGGGCTGTATCATTCCGATAATTTTTTTTTTCATAATTAGCTCCTTTACTAATGAGAAGTTCAGCAACATTATTATGACCTGAAAAATAATTTAGATGAATGGAAAAATAAAAATAAAACTGTTTTCCTATTTAGTGAAAACAAATAATAAACATTACCATTAGAAGCAGCTAAATGAAGGGCTGTATCATCCCTATAATTTTTCTCTTCATAATTAGCTCCTTTACTAATGAGAAGTTGAGCAACATTCTTATGACCTGAAAAATAATTTAGATGGATGAAAAAATAAAAATTAAACTGTTTTCCTATTTAGTGAGAACAAATAATAAACATTACCATTAGAAGCAGCTAAATGAAGGGGTGTATTATTCCAATGATTTTTCAATTCATAATTAGCTCCTTTACTGAGTAGAAGTTCAGCGACATCCTTATGACCTGAAAAATAATTTAGATGGATGAAAAAATAAAAATAAAACTGTTTTGCCATTTAATGAGAACAAATAATAAACATTACCATTAAAAGCAGCGAAATGAAGGGCTGTATCATTCCGATAATTTTCCATTTCATAATTAGCTCCTTTACTGAGTAGAAGTTCAGCGACATCCTTATGACCTGAAAAATAATTTAGATGGATGAAAAAATAAAAATAAAACTGTTTTGCCATTTAGTGAGAACAAATAATAAACATTACCATTAGAAGCAGCTAAATGAAGGGCTGTATTATTCCAATGATTTTTCAATTCATGATTAGCTCCTTTACTGAGTAGAAGTTCAGCGACATTCTTATGACCTGATAAATAATTTAGATGGATGAAAAAATAAAAATAAAACTGTTTTGCCATTTAAGCTAAGTACACAGTTCCTTGTGAAATGAAAAAATTTCTCCGGTGAAATTTTTTCATTTCACGAGGAACTGTGTACTTAGCTTTAGTGAGAACAAATAACACTATAGTAACGAAAAAATGTACGATTCAACACATAAAGGTCAGATTTTAGTTGCTGGCGAGCCCAGATAAACCTTATATTTCATTTTGATAAGTTGGTGGATTCAGTGGAAAAAATATGTTTTTTGTCAGTGGTGTTAGAAAAATGGTTAGAAGACCACTTTTTTCAATATCACTGATAAACCGTTATAAAAGGGTCGTTCTTGATATCAATCCACCAACTTACCAAAACGAAATATGAGGTTCAACTACATTTGTCGCCTACTAAAATCTGAAATTCATGTGTTGAACCGTACATTTCAAAAGTGAAAAATGTTACTACAGTGTAATAAACATTACCATTAAAAGCAGCTAAATGAAGGGCTGTATTATTCCGATCATTTTTCATTTCATAATTAGCACCTTTACTGAGTAGAAGTTCAGCGACATTCTTATGACCTGAAAAATAATTTAGATGGAGGAAAAATTAAAAATAAAACTGTTTTGCCATTTAGTGAGAACAAATAATAAACATTACCATTCAAAGCAGCTAAATGAAGGGCTGTATTATTCTGATAATTTTTCTTTTCATAATTAGCTCCTTTACTGAGTAGAAATTCAGCAACATTCTTATGACCTGAAAAATAATTTAGATGGA